TCTCTCTCTGTGTGTGTGTGTGTGTGTGTGTGTGTGTGTGTGTGTGTGTGTGTGTGTGTGTGTGTGTGTGTGTGTGTGTGTGTGTGTGTGTATAAAAACACACACACACACACATCCATTGGTTATGTATATCTATCCTTAGAGGTTTTTAAGACCCAAGTAGACAAAGCCTCATCTAGGATGATCTAGTTGGAGAAGGTCCTGCTTTGAGCAGGGGGATGGACTAGATCAGCGTTTCTTAACCTGTGGATCGTGACACAAAAGTGAGTTGCAAGAACATATGAAAGGGCTGTGAACATACTTTAAAATGGGTTCTCTTTCAAAAAAGAAAATCATGGAAAACTGTGGTTTTTCCCTTGCAGGCTGGCAGAGCTCCAGCCTGTGAGAGGCTGCTTGGGGGCCCCCCTCCCCCACACATGGAGGGTTTGGGGGCTGGGGGTGGGGGGCAGTGGGTCAGGACTGGCCATTGATGTTTACAGATAGGTCCTGGTACAAAAAAGGTTGAGAACCACTGGACGAGATGACCTCCTGAGGTCCCTTCCAGCCCTAATTTTCTATGATTCTATAATTCCATATATATTCTGTATATATATCATTGGCATGAGAGGAGAAAAGGGCTAATCTCAGGGGCTGAAGGAGTAGGGAGAATGGAGGGCAGAGAGGGTTCCTGTGGAGACAAGAAAAATGTGATCGAGCAAGCAAGGAGATTGTGTGATGCAGATAAACGAAGGCTTTAGTATTCATGGTGTAGGGAAAGAACAAGGAGAAAGAAGAGCAAGCTGTAACAAGGAATCAAAGGGGTAGATAACAAAGGATAGCAGCAAAAGAAAGGATTAGGGGTTGGAGAAAAAGGAAAGGTAGTGATAATGAAGAGGTATGGAGAGTAATAGAATTTTGTTACACCAGAATTGAGGGAGGATGACAGTCTGAGAGACAGTCAACATTTTGAGGTTGGACTTTCCCACAAATATTTGAAAGAAATCAAGAGACCAAAAAAACTGCAGTTTATTGGTTAATTTTATTTCTTTTAACCTCATGATTTTTTAAACTCACCCTCTTCAGTTTGATTGATGACTTTGCACCCTTAGGCCCCTGGCAGACATTACACTTAAGATATGATTAGCCTTTTAATTGCGTCTTAAATAGTAACCAAGCCACACGTTCCAGAATTAATGATGTGACAAAACAGGAAAGCAGCCAAAAATTATTCCATGGTGGGCCTTGCTTGACAGTACTCCCATGTTAGCAGGCTGACAACTGGCTCTGGTGCAGCCCTGCATAGGACTGCACACCACTGTTTTCAGGGTGCTGAGTTAAGGGGAGGTGGGTTGGGGTGCCAGGTCATGGGAAGCTGTGGAGCAAGGCATTTGACATCCCAGTTACAAAGACCTGGGAATCGAGTAGAAGTTCCCTGATCCCAGAGTCCCTGTTATCAAGTGATTTCTTTGTATGTTGTTTCACTTCAGAGGAGAGATGGATGATGGAGTCAGGCATCTCTTCGATGTAGTCCTACTTTTTACAAAGAAAGTGTAAAATTGCATTTTACCTGAGCACAGGAGGAATCAAATAGGAGACAGTTTCCTTTCTTCCAGTGAAAAGTCTCCAATTGGCTCGAGACTGAGACTGATGATAAGCTGATTGTCAGTCCCAGGCTCAGGACCACACCTGTTCATGCTGTCACTCTAGGCTCCATCTTTTCACACACTGACAAGTAAGTAATAGCGCCATTGGGACCTGATCCCCAATCCAAAAATTACCTGGCCAGCCATGTATATGTGGCATAGCCAGGGGTGTGATTGGATTGGGGATCAAATCCCATCGTGCCATTGAATGGAAGTGTGCCATGGGCTTAGATTTGACAATGCCAAACTCCAGCATTTGGCCAGGGAAAAGCTGTGGGGTTGGGAACCTGTATATATTCTGTGTATTTCCTGACCTCTGTTCATAGGATTACAGGAACGTAGGGCTGGAAGGGACCTCATGAGGTCATCTAGTTCAGCCCAGTACTCGGGCCTGGATCGTCTCTGACTAAACCATCCCATTTAAGTGTCTACACCACTCTTGACAGTTTCCAGGGCTGGAGATTCCACTTCTCTAGTTAGCTTGTTCCAATGTTTGACCATCCTCATAGTCAGAAAGCTCTTTCAAATCTCCAGCCTAAAATTCCTCTGATGCAGGTTGAGTCTGTTGCTCCTAGTCCTGCCCCCTACAGCCACAGAGAAAAGTCTATATATCCTTGCCTTCTTAATCATTCTGTACACAAGTCACCATATCTTTGAATAGGCCACAGCACCTTTCAGATGCATATGTCTGTTTGGTACTTTCTATAACTAAGAAATCACTGCTCCAGTCAGGGCCACTTAGTTTTCCTGAGATCAAACACTTTTTTTACTGTCTAGTAAATTGGTGCAGAAGCCATAGGCAAAGGGCATATCATGCCTTGCTCTAGCAGCTGGTTTTCATGAAGAGTGTCTATTTATAAAACTTATTAGTTATTCTTTAGGTGGTTGAGGTCTGTGCTGTGAATTTAAATAACTTGGGCTACTACCCTGCTGATGACTGTTTTGGAGCAGTATGACATTACTTGATGGAATTTGGTACTTTCTGTTGCATTTTTTTAAAGTGGAATACATACACACAAAACCAGGTTAAAAGAATGTTAGTGTGGCAAAGTCAAGCATATGAAATTTAAGAAATAGGTATCATGCAACCTTAAGTCTGCACTTTCTTGCATATTGATTGTGACAAGTTTGTAATTAAATGATCATATACATTTTTTTTCAGAACCACTGCTGGTTTTTATGCTTAGTATGGGCTCAACATTATGTATTGAATGAGGTGGTTGTTGGTAGGATTCTTTCATTTACTGTGGAAGTTGTATTGATGCATAGTGAAAAGGGTAAGGGCCTGCAGATAGAGAAATGGTAATTTTGTGGTTAAGGGAGCCCCCCTAAGTCCCAAGTTTGGCACCCAAATTTACTGGGCACTTCTGCATAATATTATTAATATTACCAGGATGCTCCAGCTCTAGAGTGACAAACATGACAAAAGAATCTGTGAAATGATTATCAATTCTGCATCTACTTCATGACTTGTGCAAAAAATAGAACTGGGGACAACACACTGAAGGAAGACTATAAACAGGAATATTGAAGAGCTGTCTTATTTCTGGAGCCCCTTATATTCTGTGCATAAATGACATAGGGATTGTATGA